TGATTATGCGGTTGCTCCTGCTGACTGTGGGCCTGACCCTGTTCTTTCTGGGGCAAGCAGTTAAATGGCCCCACATGTTTTGTGCCCCTGCTGACAAGGTGAGAGCCCCGGGAGGACTGAATGTGGGATCTGGGTGTCCATGGTCATGACCCTAGACTGGATGGCAGACACAGGTCTGCAGACGGGATCCCCTGGTGGACATCAATGGGGTGGGACATTAATGGGGTGCCTTGTGTTGTGCCCTAAGATCCACACCGGGACCTGTTAGCTCCTGCTGTTAGCTTGTGGGTTCCCAAGAAGTTCCAAAAAAAAATGAGTCTTTTTAGAATTTCTATTTTACAATGGGTGGAAGAACTTTATATTAATATAGGTATGAATATACATATTACATGTATACATATTGCATGAAGGATGATAGACACAATGCAGTGCTCTTCCTTACAGAGGGTTGAGCAGTTCTGGGAGGAGGGTCATGGAGTGGATGAACTTCCAAGAATCTTTTTAAAATTTTTATGTGGGGGTCTTAGAAGTGAAAGAAGTGGGTGGATGCTCCATTCCTAACTCAGAAAACAAACTCCACTAATAAATACTTGCATACACAAATTCAGTTTTCTTTAATGGAGTTTCGCTGGGGAAACAAACTACTCTTGAACAATGAATGCAAGCCCAGCAGTAGACAGCCAGCAGAAAACTAACTCAAGGGCATTTTTGGAGGTTCCTTGCTTCAATGTAGTGTCAGGACTTCTTTCTTCCTTTATTTTATTTTTTATCTTTTATTTTAATTTTATTTCTTGTATTTACATTCTAATTCTCTTTTCACCCTATGGGTCCTTTGTGTGTATATTGTAGCTTCCAGTTTAATATTTTAATGGAATTCCTGTGTGTAAAAATGAGTGCATCTATGTTTCTTGTGCCTTCTCTTGAGCTCTTTTCTTTCTGTTTGTTTTGTCCTATTTCAATATGTTAGCTTCTTATCTTATTTTTTTGACAAAAAGCATAATATATTTTATGAAAGTCATGAGGCTCTGGAGATGATCAGCCATGCTTCTACATCTCTTCAATGATGGACAAAGCTTTCTGTTTGTAGCCCACTTTATCTTTGATGCCCTCCTGTTAGAATCTAAACTGATCTGAAGGTAAAAGGTTCTAGGCATGAGTCTGGTGTTTAGGCACATTGGCAACCACTAGTGACAACCCCAACTCATTGGCTTTGTATACTGGCCCCTAAGTCTCACTCTTCTCCCACTCAGAGACCTGGGCAGCTGCTGTTCATGTTCTTTAACACATATGCCTGGAAGGTCAGCTCTAGTCTCTGTACTTTCCATAAGACCCCCATGGTCATCTCTCAAAGAGACAAGGATCAGCCATCCCAGGTCTCAAATTGGCTGAAGCCCTAGGCAGGGAACACACACAGGTCCAGGGAGTGTGGATGTTAGGAACCAGGAAAATTGGCAGCAGATCGCTTGAGATGGCTTGAGAGTCACATGTTGAAGGTCTCTAAAACTGTTGGGTCACTATATTGACAGGGACAGCAAGCAGACAGCAAGCTCTAACTAGGGATAATATTTAGAAGAACATCGATGATTCTAAACCTTAAGCAAATTAGCCATGACTGGATAGCAGATAGGGAGTGGAACCTGGGGGCAGGTCACACCCCAACAGGATGACTAAGGTCATGAGTGATCCAATACTTGGTGCATGGCAGTGCCCTCTACCTATGATTGGTTGTCTCTGAGCTCTGTCTACTTAGATACCTATTTGCCCCTCTGGGTGATTTTTCTCAGTTCCTTATGTGATCCTGTCAAGGAACCTGGTCAGAACCTGCCCCAGGCTCTTGGGAAGTCCCTGCCAGCCTGTGTAGATTTGATTGCCTATGGCCCAGAAATGGCTTCTGACCCTAGAGCATCTCAGGCTCCTGCAATCTGCACTGAGACCTACCCAATCCCCCTCCTGCCTCTGCTTCTACTTCTGTCCAGCCTGGAACTCCTTGCCCTGAATTCCATTTATCTGAAGCCTAATTTATCCATAATTTCCATCTCCAGCTTTTAGGAAAGTGGTACATACACTACTGGGCAGGAAATATGCCTATTCCTGAAAACATAAAGGCCAGTCCTTTGCCACCCTTCACATTTGTCAAAAACATCATTGGACAACTGGAGTTCAGGATGAACATCTCGTGAGTAATTGCCACCAGGCAGCCCTCTCTGGTTCTTGACTGGATGTTCTGCATACCCCTATCTCACACATGTTCCCTGGCCTCAGCTAGTCAATCCATAACAACTGGGATATAAGGAACATCCCAGCATAGCTCTGGTTGTTTCTGGAAAGGCCAATGTGGACAGAGCCTTGAGGACCTTGAGGATTTCACTGGCTTCTATGGTCAGTGAGGAGCCCAGTGGTGATGGAGGGTAGGTCCTTTGGAGAATCATGTGGAAACCCTAAGTAGAATCTGGTCTCCTCAGGAGGAATAGGCTGTGGTGGACAGTGTGTCAGCCCGTGCTGATCTTGGATCATGGGCTGGTCATTAGCTCCTCCTGATCTGTATCAAATCTTCTCTGCAGGCTTCTTTTTCACTGTCAGGAAGAAGGGCTGTGCTTACCTCACTGTTGGAGTGCATAGAATGGAGCAGGGAAGGAGAGAAAGATGTCTGCAAAAGAACCATGTTTCCCTCTCGTGTTTCAGGAAACCCATTGGATGTATTGTGTTCAAGCAGGTCCTGGATTATAGCGAAAGACTTCCTGGTGCCTACTTTGCCTGTAAGTGCTCATGGATATTCTCCCTAATGGAGATTACAGAGAGAGGTCTGATGAACGTGTGGCTCCTTTTTGTTCTCAGGGTCAAGGCACTACTTTGCAATTTACTTAGTGGAGCGAGATGATGTCAGTCTCATCCAGTACATGGACAGATTGAATGAACTCAACCATACCATGATCATGCTTGTGGGTATGTGCCCCACTCACTGAATTTGTGGGAGATTGGCATGAACTTACGGGGCACTGGGTACAGAGTGGGCTGCTGTTTCCTGCCCCACTTGCTCTACTTCGCAATCTGCACACACCACCCATTTTTCATTCCTAAGATTTCTGACTCTTAGGAAGTGAGGTTTGTAAGCTCTTGGCATCTTGCATCCTCAACCCTCACAAGACCATCCCTGAGGTCTGAAGTCCACATCACTTTCCACCCTGCTCCACCCCTCCCTTCTCCTCGTCTGTTCCCATTGTGGTTCTTCCCTGAGAAGGACTCTAGAGACTTTTGATGCTAAATATATTAGGTAGCCACTGCTGCCATTATAGCAGCATTGGTGGGGTTCTGACATGCAGACTGTGGAGAACCTGTTACACGTTTACACTTAAGATATCCCAATTCTGACCAGGCAGTTCTGAGGTCCTGAAATCCACATCATGTCACCCTATCAAAGTAAATCAGAGACAAATAGGTGAAGGGAAATTCTACATATAGTTCTGTCCTGTGCTGAGAAGGGAGAAGCTCCTAATATCTCTCAGCCTTTTCTTCAGACAAATTTAAACTCATAGAAAAGATTTTAAAAAAAAATCTAGGAAATAGGCGAGTGTGTTTTACTGAGACAGTAGGTCAGTCACATTCTAAGGAAGTCAGCTCTCCTAGTGTAGTGCCCCACACTGTCTCCATTCATTCACACAGAGCAGGTCTCGACACTGTTGTATACAGGGCTCCAAATTCAGTACCAGTAGAAAACATGATCGCCACCTGCTACCAACACCAACCCCTGACCCTGAGATCCATGTAAACGAGCTATGCCCTACTCTCCCGCTTCCTACATGCACTATCTGATCTAGTAACTGCTCCCATGATGCCTCTATCACTCTTTGGCTTCTCTTGCCTTAATCCGACATTTCCACTCACCCATCTCTCCTCCCCACTTCTCTCAGCCCCTTGGAGATCCTGCATCCTGAGATCCTAACAGTGTCCTGGGAGTTGTCTGACCATAGACATAGAGACTTAGGAAAAAACACTCTCTACTGGCCACTGGGGATACCTTCACATTGTAACCAAGGACAGCAAGGGTGACAGTACTGCTCAGAACTGTGCATATCTAGCTTGCATACCACCTCCTTCTGCTATATTATATATCACCCTGGGACCTGAACTAGCCAAGGATACATGTAGCCCATGCCAACCTAGCATGACAGTCTCCTCTAGAAGAGGCTGCAGGAAGTCCTGTAGGGTCTTCTCTGAGCTGTGTCTGTACATGGAATTCTGCATCTGTCCTCTGCCCTCCAGGGATGGGTATGGAAGAGTCCTTTTCAGAGAAGCCTTGATGGAAGACCCATGGCTTAGGTGGTACTTGTCCCGAACAAGGTGAAAACATGATTCCCTCCTGAATATTCTCTCCTAGCAGGCTCCTGCTTAGGAATACTGACTAAAGATTCCCTGTCCCAAACTTGAATTCTCCTAAGGCCAGTGACCCCTGGGGGACCTGCCTGGGAACTATCTATAGTGAAAGTCATTTCTAGTCCCTTCCTCCCATACTTAGGCTGATGGAAGCCTAGCAATCTCATCATACCCTCACCTAATGTGATCTGCAGGTCGGAGTCGAATCAAAGAGCCAAGATTTCTGGAGCACTTTGAAACCTTTACAGAATTTATTGGACTGAACATAACAGAAATCATCAAACCATCTTATGACGGTAATAAATTATTTTTTCCTATGTCCTCTTCCTCATATTTACAATTTCCATGGAAGACACTGGTTTCACAATGTTCCCAGCCCCCTCTTTCTTTGTGGGTCTCCAAACAGATTACTGTGAACTTTCCAGAGAATCTTAGTGCATAAAGGATGTACAATGGAACCATGCAGGAACCAGGAGCTGGGATTCTACCAGCTTCTACAGCATCAGGCAGAACCTCTGTTGCCAAGAGAAGATGGGCTTATTACCCACACTTTCCTTTTCCTCTGTTTTCAATAAAGCTGCAATCTCTTTGTGTCAGGAATAGTTAAATGGGCTCCAGCTTTGTGTTTATTAGGTGGTGACCTTGACTATCATGAAGGATGAAATATCTGAAGGTCCAGCTACCATGACCTGAAATATGTACAATGCAAAGCCAGTGCATCTGGCCTCTAGCTCCTTTTGTAATGCCAGCTGCCCATTGCCAGCCACAGTGGAGTGATTCCTGCAGGAGGGAAAGGAGGGATAATCTCAGAGAAATATGATGGGCATGCCTATGGGCCAGGCTGCAGTGTCTATCTGCTCATAGAGGATCTGGGATTCACACATACCTGGGTCCTCCCTTCCAAGTGTATTATGCCCCCAGATGTCCCTTTACAAAGCAACGGGTGCTGAGCGGGGCAGAGTGTCCCTAGCCTCCTATGGATCTCTTTGTGTGATCTTTACCTCAGTAGCAAAAAACACATTTACTCACCTTAAATTCTGCACCAAGGAGAGACCAGTGTAGAAATACCCTAGAGTCATATGTGGATAACTAACAAGTGTATTGCCTTTACACCGCTTGAATGAGGGTTCCTTATAGGAGCAGGGGTGATCTCACAATAGCTACTCCACAAAAGTTATCTCTAATATGGATCTCAACTTCCCCATAGCTTCCTAGATGGTGTTCCCTCTTCAGTTTGCCTTCCACACTGCAAGTATTCTAAAGCAGCTCCTAAGACCACAGTGGGGGACAGAATTACATGCAGCTGTGAGAGATATACAAGAAAGGGGAGCTGAAACCACAGGAGAGGGTCTTCTGGTATCACCTCCTCCTTCTGTGAGGATCCTTGGACTAACCTGATCTCAATGCATTCTTGAGTAGACACAGTTGCCACTGATAGTCATGGTGGGTATTATATTTGGGGATAGGAGCCGGCAACAGGCCTGTTCAGTAGCTCTGAACACTGCTATGCTGGCAGAAAGAAGGGAGCAAAGCCATTCTTCACATGACAGCACTACCCAGGGTCTTTGAGCCTCCCAGGAGGCTCATGTACTTGAGAGTTATGACCTACAAAGTCAAATGCCCTTTTTACTCTACCTCTGGGGTGAGATTATTGGTGTTTGGTTTCTTTGGGCATTGGGACCATGCGTGTGACCCTGAGTATCCCTGCACACTAAACTACACCATGAATCCAGGTTGGCCTTCTCCATTGAATAATAACAGAGTAGACACCCTTCCATCCCCTGATGGAAATGAAGAATAGTGGCTTGGCCCTCAGAAGTGTTTCACCTCACCTGGATTCAGGGACAAGATTCACATATATTGAACATACTTCCTGTTGGATCCAGCAGATATGTTAGGGGCTGATCTCTCTGCTGTGGAAACTCACTGGAGGTCTTTCCTGGATCAGGATATATTATAAAGAGGAATACACTTTAGTAGCCAGCCCCAGAGTGACCTCAGGGAAATATGAGACTCCTTATAGATTGCAGCTCTGATGAGAGAGAAGCTTGGGAGGCTGAGTCATATGGTGGCTTGTCTGTAGAACAGGGCAGAGGTGAGCTGGATTTAAGGGCCACTGGGTATGCAGCTGGCTCATTAGGCTACATGTGTGTTGACTAAGTTGTGGTATATCAGAGCACAGTGTCACTTAAATCAGAACTATGTGTCTAACCCAAGAGTGTGAGAAAAAAGCAAGGCTGTGGTTGGATCAGACTTAATAGCTTCTTTTGAACACAGGGGAACAACTGGCCTTTTTCAGCTGTCCCCTTAAATCTGGATCAATATGTCATGTTTACACAATTCTATTCAATAGGACTTCGCCTTTCATGCCTCAAAAACAGAACTTCACTGGAAACAGAAACTTGGCTAATGCAGTGTGATTTACACACATGTAACTAGATCAATAAAGATTTTTTGAAAGTATAAAGAAACAATCAGAATGACTACCATCTCTTATAGGGCGCTTGAGTCTCTTCCTGTGGGAGACAGTAACAGCACCAAGTGTAATAGTCTCTTCACAGGGCAACAGGATTCATCCAGGTGCTAGAGGCATACCACACAAGCTGAGAAACTCTTCTCAGATCACTACTTTTCTTTGCCCCCTTCTAATTACCTCAATCCACAGCTGAGAACTCAGGTAGGAAGCCTGGCTGGATAGGTGCCAAGAGCTTTTTGACGTTCAAGAGTGTGTGCTACAGTGCCAGATACTGCACCTGGGAAGCATTTTGTGTGACTATAGAGATGGCAGTGCTATGGGATATCTGAATGTGAAAAGGTAGCATCCACAGGAACTCACCCCAGAGAGGCACCCACCTCACACGGGGAAATACTGAGAAATTTGGAGATGATGGGGGACCAGAAAGCTGCTGTGGGACCTAGAAAAGGCCACTCAGAAGCTAAACCTTCCAACCTTTGCAGTACAAAGTGTCAAAATGTTCCTGCTTAATGATTCTATGAATTTGATTGCTGTCTATTGGAACATACCCATTTTTTTTCACTGATTTCATGAGTTATCCCTCTGTCTCTGTCTCTGGTTTTTCCCCTCTGTATTTTTGTATCTCTGTTTCTCTCTATTCCCCAACTCCCTCCCTTCCTTCCTCCTTCTTTTCCTCCATCCCTCCCTCTCTCCCTCTCTCTCTCTCTCTCTCTCTCTCTATCCATATATATATGGATATATATATATATATATATATATATATATATCTACCCATATATATATGGATAGATAGATAGATATCTCCCACCCTCTCTCTATATATATAGCTATATCTATGTATATAGATATATATCTCCCTCTCTCTATATAGAGAGAGATAGATAGATATAGAACTCCCTCCTTTCTCTCTCTTTATATATAGATATAGACATATATAGATATAGATATAGATCTCTCTCACTCTCTGGAAGAGTTTGGCTAAGGAATTCACATTCCTTTTTAATTTAAAAGAAAGGCTTGTTTCATTGATTCTTGAACTTTGCTTTAATCTCTATTTCATTAATTTCATCTCTCACTCTTGAACCTTTCCATCTACCATGCTTTTTCTTTAGCTTCCCCCATGAGGAAGCTAAAGATAGATATGTAAAAATGTAACTATAGTATACCATGTCTCATTTATTTATTTGTATTTTATTATAAATCATCTTATTTTACAAATCAATCCCAGTTCCCTCTACCTTTAATCCTCCCTTGCCCCCCCCCACTAACCCCCTTTCCCGTCCACCATACCCTTCCCCAGGGAGGGTGAGGCCTTCCATGAGAGATCATCAAAATCTGTCAAGTTATTTGAGGTAGGGCCTAGGCCCTCCCCCATGTATCTAGGCTTAAAGAGTATCCTTCCATAGGGAATGGGCTCCTGAAGTCCATTCATGCACTAGAGATACATCCTGCTTCACCTCCATCAGCCCCATAGACTGCCCAGTCCTCCTTGCTGACACCCACGTTCATAGGGTTTGGCTTGGTCCTATGTTGGTTCCCCAGCTGTCAGACTGGAGTCCATGAATTCCCACCTGCTCAGGACAGCTGTTTCTATGGGTTTTCCCAGCATGGTCTTGACCTCTTTGTTCATCACTTCTTCCTCTCTGAAACTAGCTTCTAGGAGTTTGGCTTGGTGATTGGCTGTGAATCTCTGCTTCTGCTTCCATCAGCTACTGGATGGATGTTCTAGGATGGCATTTAAAGTAGACATCATTCTCATTGCAGGGTAAGGGCATTTAAGGTAGCCTCTCCACTATTGCTTAGATTACTAGTTGGGGTCAATCTTGTGGATCTCTGTGCAGTTTAAAGAGATTTCTCTTTAAACGCATAATGGCTCCCTCTATTGATGTGTCTATTTTCTTGCTCTCTTCTAGTAATCACCCCCACTCAATCTTCTTGATCCCTCATGTTCTCTTCCTCTTCCTCTTTTCCTCTCCTCTTTCTTCTACCATGTCTCATTTTTACTCAGAATAAAAGATAAAGCACCACTGTGTGTTGTACTTTTTAAAAAATGTCAAGAAGAAAAGGACTCACATAGGAAGCTTATGAGAAGAGGTGAGGGAGGGGGCAGAGAGGGATGCAGACTGGTCCCTGGGAACAGGAGTGGTGGAATCAAAAGAAAGAGGGAAATAGAGGAAGAGAAGGACAGAGAGAGAAATATGGGAGATGGCTAGGACCCTTTTAAAAGGGAATATAGTGAACGTGCACAGGAAGTGCTCTTAGTGGCTGCAGCTCTGGGCATTTTCTGTCAGAACCCAAGGGCAGGTCAGTACAGATGCCTGGATACTAACACTGTGACTCATAGATCACCACTGTTTGCTCAACCTTTTCTCTAACATGCTCTCTGGCCAATTTTCTCTCTCCTGCAATCTGCTTCATCTTCCCTATATTCCAGTCACTTCCTGTCACAGCCTGACTCTCTGTTCTACTTCCAGGCCCCAATGAATATTCTTTCTACCTGGAGTCCTTTTCCACTTTACTCATTTATGGTTCATTCACTTCACTATGTTCAATTATGTGTTTTAATGTCACACTTGTATGGCTGACTCAGACAATATCATTGAATCTACAACCACTTGTAGAAAAACATTTCTCTCTTGCTTGCCAATTTTTAATTAACCACCCATGGGCTTAATATTACTTATAAATGCTCAGCCAGTAGCTCAGGCTTATCACTGCATAACTCATATATGTAAATTAACCCATATTTCTTGTTTATGCTTTGCCATGTGGCTCATGGCTTGTTCTATACATCATGCTTGCTCGGCAAATGGCTGACTGCTCTCTCAACTCCTCATTTCTTTGTCCCAGTCCTTAGTTTCATTGTCTTGCCTGACTTTACCCTGCTTTGCTATAGGTGAAACAGCTTTTTATTAACAAATGCTAGTAATACATAGTCACAGAATACAAAAGAATTATTCCACAACAACCACTCATGCCCACAGTTGCTGGCCACCTTGTCCCATTTGGTTCTAATTCATAGTTTGTGCCACGTTTGTAATAATCTATAATTAAGTGATCAGGAGACAGGAGCACATAGTAGACTGAGCAGGCATAGTGAATACAATGAACACTTAATATAAATGGAAGGAGAGCTAGAGACGCTGAGGGTGGCAAGAGAGTAGTGGAGGAAACCATTTTGTACTGGGATCTTTTCAATATGGTTGGTTCCACCATGGTGGGAGAGGTGTTACAGCCAGGGACCTTGGCTAAATCATTTGTCAGTTCTGGTTTTGTTCTCAGACTCATTAGATCCTTCCACACAGACAGTCACAGCATCCCCATATACAGTCTTGTTTCCTTCTACAAATCTTTACGTTCCTGAGTCTACAGTTGGAGCTTTCTGCGTTGTGTTACATGAATGCAAGGAGAGTAGACACTCTTGCTGTCCTTGATGATGCAAAGTGCAGCATTACACAGCAGAATATGTGAGGCTGCAGATCTCCTGTAGAAGCTCTTTATCAACATAAAATAGAGACTCTTTCCAAAAGCTCTTTACTGAGAATCTTGTCAAATGATCTACCTGTGCTGATCTATTGACACAACAGAATTTT